TTTTTTAATTTTTGTTTTGTCATGCAGCATCCCGTTTTCGGTGGATGAGCTCTCGAGTGCGTTACAAGTGAAGGATTTCTTGGACGTGACGCCTGCCGAGGACCTTCTTGAGAATCCTGCCTTCCAATTTTTGTACAACTAAGGCTAGGAATCACTTTTTTCACCTTTTTTTTCCGGCATGGATGGATCATACACTGTAAATCGGTCGATATTTTTTTTTCTTACTCGATAGGTTTTGCTATATACTATATATTCTACATATATGATATTTCTGAAGGTTCTCAGCATTATGGGACTGGAAAAATATTAGTGTAGGGTTTTTGAGAAAGAAATTATTATGGTGTTCTTTTATTTGTTGTAAAATGTAATGGTTTTACATGAAACATTTACTCAGATAAATGATGTGTACTTTGATTTTGATCATATACCCTTTGTTTCTTACTTCTTCTTGGTTTTTGGTCATAACTGTCATTCAATTTTTAATATATAATATTTTAGTATGAAAAAAAAAAATCAGTTTTGTTGACGGAAAGTTTTACGATGTCATGCATCATGATAAACTATCAAGATAATTTTTAGTTTGATGGGAAGGGTGAGTCGAGAATCGGCAAGAAGTTAGTCGAAAGAAGGAATAAGCGGAGTAAGCCAAGTCCGATCGATCTTAGGGCGAAGTATTCGACGTGAGCTTGTTCGAATGACTTGTAGCAAATTTGCCAAACATGCCTTCAAAGCGATGATATTACTATTTTTATGAAGAACTCCACCTTCTCATATTTAACTCTTCACTTTTTTCAAATAATATCAATCAGTCATTGTCATCCATCATATCAATTTTGATTCACAAATCATTAACTTACATATTTTTAATTACCTATAGTTTTAATTCCAACCTTATACTTTTACATCGCATTAATTTAATTTTTATATTATAAAAAATATTTAAATACAAATAATCTTATTTTTAATTACACACATTATGCATTTAAACAAAAGAATCCAAAATTTTCCCACTTGGTTTATCACTTGACAGATTTTAAACTCCTATCAACTAAATAAACATCAGGTACATTATATATATGGGGCGGATCAAATGAGGACAACTCTTAAAATGCGGACAACTCTTAGCAACTACAGACAACTAACCCAGCAACTACAGAAAACTAACCTAGCTACTACTAGCATAGCAACTACAGATAACTAACCTAGCTACTACTAACCTAGCAACTACAGAGAAATAACATAGCAACTACTAACTTAACAACTACAGAGAACTAACTTAGCAACTACAGAGAACTAACGTAGCAACTAGAACTAACCTAGCAACTACTAACCTAGCAACTATATAAAACTAACCTAGCAACTACAGAGAACTAATCTAGCAACTACAGACAACTAACCTAGCAACTACAGAGAACTAACGTAGCAACTACAGACAACTAACCTAGCAACTACATAGAACTAACCTAGCAACTACAGAGAACTATCCTAGCAACTATAGATAACTAGCCTAGTAACTACATATAACTAACCTAGTTGGAAGGTTAGTTGTCAACGGTCAACGCTGGAAGTCAACGGATTTCACCTGAAGTCAACGCCGGAAGTCAACGGGTTAAAATAATATTTAAATGATTAAATAATAGAAATAAAAGAGTAAATGTTGACCACACATGATGTACTAAATCTTGTGGCTAAAAATGAGTCTCACGTCCTCACTTTAAAAAAACGGCCACATTTGAACTAATCCCTATACATACATACATACATATATATACATATATATATATATATATATATATATATATATATAAGTTCAATTCAACCATAATAAATTGGTAGAAAAATGCTACAAGTACATAATAAATGCTACAAGTATATAATAAATGTACATAGATGTGTACATAACACTAAATGGAATGGAGTCCACTTGATTTTTTATTTTTGGTAGAGTCCACTTAATGTGAGTGTTATGTGCACCTCTACGTACATTATGTACCTATATCATTTCTCTAATAAAAACAATGACAACTTCAAGTTAAGTGTCTGGAGGCACCTAAGTTTAGGGCTACAAATATGGACCAGCCCATTTTAATTCTTTCTGCATTTCCTCAACGGCCCATAATCTTCACAATTTTCTATGGACCAATTTGTCAATTTTATTATTAGGGACCACTAATAGGACTTATGGACCAGTACCCCTTATTAGTCCCAAGTCCCAACCAACTTATCCTTATATTTTTATGCTATCTTACATCTTTCCTGAGCTTATTGAAATTTTACAACGTTCAAACATAAATTTATTTATAAATGGGAGATAAATAAAAAAAAATTAATATAATTAAAATAAATTGCAAAAAAAAGGCCACAAATCGACAAATCTTAAACAATTAAAGTTGGTATATATATATAATTAAAAAACTTCATTTCGAGGTAAAATAGTGTATTTTTCTCTTCTTTTTTTATCCTTTTAATTCAAAAAAAAAAAAAAAAACTTGTTTGTTTGTTTGTTTTTTTTTCAATTTATACCAAAATCTAACTCAACTTTTACTCAACTCAGCTAACAATCTCAATATTAATAATATAATTAAATAATATCAATCAATTATTCTTACACATCAAAACAACTTTAATTCACTGTTCATCTAATCACATAATTTTAACTATCCATCGTTTCGCATCATCTTTCTCTTACTTTTACATCAAATCAAATTTATTATTTTATTTTAAATGTAAACTCGAAATCTCACTAACAACTAACTGTACCACATCTATATCTATATCTATATAAAAAGGTTGTTGAAAAAATACATAAATATTAGTTTTGACTTTTTAATTAAAGAGTTTGACATACTAATTAAAGATATGTTTTAAAAAATGATTTTTTTCCCTTCAAAAAATGTCGTTAATTTTGTACAAAAGTTTTGTAATGTGAGTTCAAGTTATGTTAATATAATCCAGTTTTTGAATTTAGAATGACCCTCAAGCCGTCAAATTTGCCGAAAATGTAGCTTCCAAAGACTATTCATATTTAATTTATCCCCATGATATGGAATTATATTTTTTTTAATTTTCTTCAATTTTATTTCAAAATATGTTTGTGTTTATCCAAACAAAAGACTTGACTTCTTAAACATGCTTTCAAAAATCTATGGTTTGAAATTTGAACGTATCCATGCATATCGTCATTCAATTAAGGAAGAATATTTAAGATATTTGGTGCCATTTTTCATATCAATGTGTGGAACAGTAACTTTTTGTACTTTTGTTTGTAATTTTTCAAAATCTAAAAAACGCAACCGAATCACTTTTTTCGTGTGAATGAATATTAAACTTGACTGAGAAAAATAAGTCAATAAAAAATATACAATTTGTTTGATTGAAAAATAAAAATAAAAAATATTATGGGATATATTTTGATTGGGATAAGATATTGTGATTTCCAAGAAACTATTTCAAAAATTAGGTGCAGATCGACCATGTTAACTAAATTAGTCAATTTTTGTCTGTCTATGTTTTTTTAACCACAAAATATTTTGAAAGTTCCGAAGAATCTCATAATAGGTGGATTCTTTTTATTATATGAACTACATAAAAAATGGAAAATGTCGTGAAGTAATCTATTACTTTATAATATAGAGAAATATTTATTTGAAATATATATATATATATAT